ACTTCAGAGTGAACTTCAGAGTGAACTTCATAATGTACTTCATAGTGTCCTTCACAGTGTACTTCATAGTGTACTTCAGAGTGAACTTCAGAGTGAACTTCGTAATGTACTTCATAATGAACTTCATAATGAACTTCTTAGTGTACTTCATAGTGTACTACATAGTGTACAACATAATGTACTACATAGTGTACTTTACATGTATATATTATTTATTATTATTATCATCAGTACTATGAGGTACTGTGACGTACTGTGAGGTACTATAAGGTACTATGAGGTAGTGCTGGGCGGTATACCGGTTTTAATTAGGGCCCGAGCACCGACGTAGTCGGAGCGGAGGACCTATTGTTTTTCGTATGTTTAATATTATTATTATTATTATTGTTATTCTTAGTGTTTCGTCTCAAAAAGGAGGTGCTTGGGATACTGGCAAAATGTCGAAATTTGGCACGCAAGCCAGAATTTGCGAAAATTGCAGTCTGATTGGGGTGTCCAACTGCGGTGTGAAATATTGGCTCGATAGCGCCCCCTATTGAGTAGCCCCAACATCGGGTTTCACCTAGCTGTATGAAATTTAGTAGGTATGTGGAACGTGATGAGACGCACAAAAAATCCTCTTGGAGTTTTTCATTAAGCCAAACAGGAAGTCGGCCATTTTGACTTTTATGACGATTTCAAGGCGTCATACTTTAACGAACTCCTCCTAGAGATTTGACCTGATTGACTTCAGATTCGGTCAGTATGCTCTTGAGACCTTGGCAGTGAAAAGTTACTCAAAGATCAAAAAGTTATCAAACTATGTGTCCGTGGCGCGGCATCAAAAAAACACTATTCGCCGTGAAACAGGAAGTTGTTGTAACTCGGCCGGACATTGTCGAATCTGCTCCAAATCTCTCATATGTCATAACATCCTGACCCGGAACACATCTATATGATCATTTAGAATCATAGTAATAGCGCCACCTAGTGGCAACTGGAAGTTGTAGGTTGTGTACTTTGACATCCTGCTCCTCACAGATTAATCAGATCCCTCTAAAATGTTGCCAGAACAGCCTTAAGACCTTGATAATGCTTCATTGTGAAAATTGTAAGAAGTTGTTGAAGGGCAGCAACGTGGTGGCTCGGCAAATTTCGATCCTTCGCCATGAACGAATAAACTGATGTAACTCAACTCCACATCATCAGATCTTTACCAGATTTCACATGTTTGATTAGACTCCCGGCCTGAAGACAACTGCAGGCCAATTATGAATCATAGTCATAGCGCCACCTACTGGTAACAGTAAGTTAAAGGCTTTATACTTTGGCTTGTTTCTCTTAGTAGGTAAATCAGATCAACATCAAATTAGTTCCACACAAATAGAAGAAGTTCATAATGCCAGTTCATGAAGCTTTTGATGTTTCGTCGAACGCCGTTGCCGTGGCGACGCAGTCTTCGCCGTGAAAAACGAAGGTACTTTTGAGAGGCTAGAAATGCTCGAAACATCAGCAAACTTAGCATTCACATTTAAAGCCCAAAATGTAGTTATATAATATGATTTTATTGGTTCAGAGTGGCAAATCGGCTCAATAGCGCCCCCTACAAAATTTCAATGAAGCAGCCCTCGCTGTACGTTTCACATAGATTTACAAAATTTGGTAGGCACATGTATCACATGTGGACTTAAAATAAAGTCTCTTGGGACCATGCTCTAAACACAACTGGAAGTCAGCCATTTTGAATTTTGTATGAATTTCTCGTGTTTTTTTTCCATTTCCAGGTGCTGTACTACGAACTCCTCCTAGGGAATTAATCCGATCAGCTTAGAATTTGGTCAGAACAATCTAAAGACCTTAGCGATTAAAAGTTACTAAAAGCTTTAGGTTTCATCGAACGACGTGGATATGGTGTGATGGCCATTTTACATGCTTCACCATCATCCATCAAGCTGTTGTAACTCGACTGTACTTTGTCAAAACTGTCCCAAACTTGACATGCTTGTTGACTGTCATGATTTTAGGACTTCTGCATGCCAATATTAACTCATAGTCATAGCGCCACCTACTGATAAGCACGGACGTAAGCAGGATTCTATAATTACAGCGGCCCAAACATTGAACTTATTGAAAGGGTTTGTGGGCACACCATGAGAAAAAGACTTCTCTGATCTAAATATGTGCAAACTAAGATGCTTGGAGAGCAAACGTTAGATAACAGTGGATTTTCAAACCATGCTAGTGGGCATTAGTATAAATGATCTGTCCAGAGCTTCTTCATGACAATCAGGTTAAACGTTACTTCACACTACAATCTAAAGTTACAGAAGAACTTAAAATGAAAACAGTGTTAAATTAAAGTGTTCAAGTAACAGCAAATGGCACTACTGTTTTGTTAACTTTCATGTAAGTCCAAATACAATCAGCAGGACACTGCAGGGAGTTGAACCCCATCCCAGTAAACTGACAGTCTGTTATGTTACAAACACTGAAGGGCATTCACACACATCCATTTTCTTAATGATCTTTAAAGGCTTACATTTATGATTGTATCGGATGTACACTCAAAACATTTGAGGCTTAAGACCTGGCAACATGATCTTGCTACGCTGCTGGTCTACGCAGGAAATATCTCACTCGTGCACGCAGTGTATGACGGTCACAGAAATGCATGGCCAGAGTCCTGCTAGTACCCTCGACGTGCGTGAAGTTGCGAGGGCCCGATCAATGCTGCTCGCAGCTTTAATTTCTTGTATGATATCAATTTTTCACACACCGTCATACTCGGTGCACAGCCGAAACAACTGCTGTCGCTCTTCAACAGGCAGCAGAATATATTGTTCGCCACTATGAGTGCTACAGTCGGAGCTAGTTGTGTTAAGTGTGTTGAGAGGGAACCCTAGTCATGGTTATAACTTTATAACAACAATTAATAACTCACAACTAACGCTCTGTAACAAAAAAACACCACGACACAACAGTTTGTGACACATAAACAATTTGTAACACTAATAATTGTACATTTATAAAATTACACCGCCGAACTGCATGCTTGGTACAGCTCGCTAGCTAGCTAGCCCGTTAGCAAACAGTCTGCTAACAGCTAGAAGAAGCTCCGTCGCTACATTATAGAACAGAAAAGAGCGATGCAGGAGAGAGGAGGTGCGTCTGCTGTTTGGAGGTTTTTTGGTTTTTAAAAATCCGACGTAGATCAAAAGACGATATATTGCAAAGTTTGTCAAGCCGCTGTTATTGCCTCTGGTGGCAACACTAGCAATTTACTCCATCAACTCAGCCGAAAACGTGTTGGAATATGAAGAGGGTATGCAATTACGGTCCTCGGATGCTTTTTTTGGTATTGTGGTCAGACACATCTGTAACGCTGATTACCGTAATATGTGTGGTATTTGTTATAAATGTACGTTGGTACATAGAGGGTGATAAGAAGCTGTACATGGAGGGACTTAGGACCCAGGGGAATGTAGGTGAAGGAAACAGGAAGTGACAGAAGAGACGCCACACAAACAGCTGTTCACCGCTCGCTGGCCGGTTGGCCGGCCGGTTGGTCGGACGGTTCTTGTGTTAGTTTTCGGCATTAATTAATTAATGCGTTAACGCGGAAAAAAATAAAACACTGTGATATACCGTGAAACCGACAGAATCTTACAAAATACCGTGATACACATTTTTGGTCATACCGCCCAGCACTACTGTGAGGTACTATGAGGTACTATATGGTACTGTGAGGTATTATAAGGTACTATGAGGTACTAAAAGGTACTGTGACGTACTATAAGGTACTATATGGCACTGTGACGTACTGTGAGGTACTATATGAGGTACTATGAGGTACTATGAGGTACTATATGAGGTACTGACCTGAGAGCAGTCTGCTGGATGCGGCTCATCCAGGTCTTCCGGCCTTCTTTGGATGAAGCATGCAGCTCGTACATCTCTGGAGGGGTGGAGGCACTGATCAGGTACATCCCTCGCTCCTGATTTGCTATGTCTCTGACGATCAGGTTATTCAGAGAGACCACCGGAGACTTGTCCTGAGAGACAGGTGGAGAGACAGGTATATGGTCAGGGACACAGACAGGTAGACAGACAGATGAGACCATTGAAATAGACATTGAACTGTTTTTCTAGTCCAAAAGAAAATGGGGATTGTTGTTAGTTGTTATGGGACGCAGCTCTGGAGACGGATGGCTGGCTCGTTAGTTAGCTAGGGACCGTTACACCAGCCACTGTTCAGCTTATTTTCTGTATCCAGAGTAGCATTAAATGGTGGAATTAGCAAGCTAGCTAACTAGCCAACTGTCTGCTGGTTAGCTATCTTGTTAATTCCACAATGCTTTAATGCTACACAGTTGTCACTCAGGAGGAGGAGGCACATGAGGAGGTGCAGGTGTGACCAGGTGTGACTCACCAGTGACGCGAAGGTGAACTTCTGATCTTTCTCCTGAAGGAAAACCAAGATGTCTGACATCAGCAGGACCTGCACATCTGGAGACAAACACACAGGTGTGAGCTTGGTGTGACATCACAGCAGGTGTGACATCACAGCAGGTAAACAGGTGACGCTACCTTTCATCCTGGAGCCCTGGACCTTCCAGAGGAGCGCCCCCTCGTGGAGGAGCCTCCTCCTCAGCAGCTCTCCGCCCATGAAGACTCCTCCTCCTCGGACCTCCGTCTGAGCCCGGGGGTCCAGACGGGCCTGGATCTCCTGGAGCCTCCTGGTCCGGTCCAGCTCCAGCACCTCCTGGTCCACCGAGCCGATCAGCTCCTTCAGGAGGACCAGAGCTCGTCTCAACGCCTGTGCCTCCTCTTCATTACCTGTAAGAGGTCATTAAAGGTCATTAAAGATTATTAAAGGTCACAGGTTCAGAGGTCACAGGTCATCAGAGGTCAGAGGTCACAGTACCTTTGGTGTTGTCGAGGATCCGCTGGATGAGGACCGGGTACTTTGTGATTCGCTGAGTCACCAGCAGGATGCACTCCTGGACGCCATGACGACGCAGCAGAGGACCTCGACCGGCTCGCTGAGCATTATGGGATGGAGAGAGAACATCAACACACACCAGTCTACACCAGGTCTACACCAGGTCTACACCCGTCTACACCAGGTCTACATCAGGTCTACACCAGTCCAGACCTTAATCTCTACTGGAGCAAACCCAGGTCTAGATCTGGAGGAACAAGACTAAACCAGGACCTGGACTTTGACTAAGATCAGGCTAAACCAGTCTCAAGTGTAAACTAGGTCTGAAGCAGATTTAATGAACCTGAATCAACAAAACCAGGTTTGAAGCTCAGGTCCCAAACCAGACCAGATAAATAAACTGGTATTCATTTTGATCTACACCACTAAAGCAGGTCTAGTCCAAACCAGGCCTGATCTAAACCAGGCCTAGTCTAAACCAGGTCTAGTCTTAACCAGGCCTAGTCTTAACCAGGCCTAGTCTTAACTAGGTCTAGTCCAAACCAGGTCTAGTCCTAACCAGGTCTAGTCCTAACCAGGTCTAGTCTAAATCAGGTCTAGTCTAAACTAGGTCTAGTCTTAACCAGGACTAGTCTAAACCAGGTCTAGTCTAAACCAGGACTAGTCTAAACCAGGACTAGTCTTAACCAGGACTAGTCTAAACCAGGTCTAGTCTAAAACAGGACTAGTCTAAACCAGGTCTAGTCTTAACCAGGTCTAGTCTTAACCAGGTCTAGTCTAAACAAGGTCTAGTCTAAACCAGGTCTAGTCTTAACCAGGTCTAGTCTCAACCAGGTCTAGTCTTAACCAGGTCTAGTCTAAACCAGGCCAAGTGTTAACCAGGTCTAGCTGTTTGAACCAGATTAAACCAGATTAAACCAGACTAAAGTTCTAAAGCCCTCTAAACTGGGTCTAGTTCCAGGTCCAGACCCAAATCCTGTTCCTGGTCCAGATTGTGGTCCTGGTCCTCACCCTGACAAACTGCTGCAGCCTTCGTTCTCGAGTTAAAACTTCTTTGTAGAGTTTCACAGCTTTCGGGTGTCGACTGCAGAACTCAGAGTAAAGTTTCTTCATGTCGTCTGCACACTGACCTGAGAACTACGCACGCACGCACGCACGCATGCACGCGCGCGCACACACACACACACACACACACACACACACACACACACACACACATACACACACACACAGTTTTAAGTATTTGATTTGACTTTACTTCCTGGTTCTCAGGTTTAAGGGTCTTCTTCTTCTATCACTATTTTTTGAGTAGAAGCTTCATTCATAACTTTGATATGAAAGTTCAACATCTGACATCTTTTTTTTTAGGGTGATGACGTCATAAAAAACATTGAATATGTTAAAGTATGTGAGAGGAAGTAGAAGGATTGATAGTAACAGTAACTAGAATATTTTGCAAGAAATTTTGACAGTGTGGCTTCTACTGCCCGAAGACGTCGCAACATATAGCTACACACGCTGATGTTACCGGTAGTATCGTTGAGGTTGGATTGAGATATCGCTTTTCTCTTTTCTGCATTTTAGACTCATACTCTTGGATTGAATCTTGTATTCATGATGGACAGTCCACAATTGGCTCCCGTCATTTCTGTACTGGACATGTACATCTTTGCTTGAGAAGCCTTTGGAAATGATGGGAGCTAACGCTCCCATCATTTCTGTACGAACCTCATTCTGAGCTTCATGTTAAGATACAGTTACTCTATGGGGCTTTTATTTTGAAAGGGTGGGACTGGGTGGGGGAGAGAGGGGAAGAGGAGACATATTCATAATGTTTGACACACAAACACAGAGATTATTAAATGACAGGCTTCATCACAAGCATTCCAGTTAGAATTCACTCTCTGGAGCTTTTATTTTGAAATGGGAGGGGGGGTTCTCTAAATATATCTAAAACCTGAATCCTGACTGTATGATAGAGAGAGAGAGAGAGCGAGAGAGAGAGACATAAAGACAGACAGAGTGATGAGTGAGAGACAGACAGACAGAGAGGAGGTTTAACAATGCCTTTGACTGAATATCTCCAACTCATGTGTGTGTGTGTGTGTAGAGAGAGAGAGAGAGAGAGAGAGAGAGAGAGAGAGAGAGAGAGAGAGAGAGAGAGAGAGAGAGAGAGAGAGAGGGAGAGAGAGAGAGAGAGAGAGAGAGAGAGAGAGAGAGAGAGAGAGAGAGAGAGACTGGTTGCCATGGTGAGGACGCACCTGGTGTTAGAGGCAGACTGATTAGGGAACATTACAGTAATCAGTGATTTTGAACAAAACCCCTAACTCCTTTTAACAAATTAGCAGGAGTCTGAGTGCCAAAATATGGATACCGTGAGAAAGATAAGACTCTGGCAAACGCGCTGATGTGTTTTTTATGTTTGTGGTGTTAATAATGTGAGCTCCAGAGCAATAGACAAAACTGGTACCGTCTGCTGTCTTTGAGAAATGAGTGGTGAGATTTAACATGGAGTCTAATGGAGCAGTTGGTTGGAGTTCATGTCGCTCTGCGGCTCTTTGAGCCAAATGTGTAAGTCCGTTGGATTCCACAGACATCTGTGTGCGACAGCACAACATTTCCAAGCTTTTTGGCCAAAATGGTGTATAAAGAGTAAACATTGTGGGAGCTGGAGTAATTTGTTTGGAATAATCACAGAATATTTTCCTGCTCCGCTCCACTCCGACGGTTGTGCTCTCACTCTAGCTCTTAACGAGCCGTGCAATACACACCCATTATAAAATCTGAAACAGACCCAAAATGTTCCTGAAACTTAATCTGTGACTTCATGAAAACTGTGCTAGCTATCAAAATGTCCATTTGGCTCAATAAAGTGCAGCGTTTTGTCTACGTTTTAAACTTTGAATCATGTTTCTACGTTAATGTACGGCTAGTCAATATGGGCCCAAAGTTAAGTGTTTTTTTTAGCTCTCTTCACGCCGAAACCCCATTCAAGTGAATGGAGAAATTTTGCTCCGTTTTTTGGGATTTTCGGGAAAACCACTGGGCGAATCTCTCCGACAAATAGATAGCACACTATTCCCGATCAGGCCGCACATTTTGATGTATTTGTCATGCCGCTGTTGGCAACGCTGTGTGAGGAGAAGCGCGCCAAACTTTTTGGATAATAATCATTAGTATGATTAAGCCCGATGGATTATATACAGTGTGCTTTGTAGCACAAAGGCAGTAAAACTGCCTTTGTGCTACAAAGCCACACTGAATGATTGAAGACGTCCAGCAGAAGAAGCTGTTTGACGTCTGACCTCGTGTGGCGTTCAGGTACCTGTCTGAGCAGCAGGTCTCGCTGACTTCGTGTGGCGTTCAGGTACCTGTCTGAGCAGCAGGTCTCGCTGACTTCGTGTGGTGTTCAGGTACCTGTCTGAGCAGCAGGTCTCTCTGACCATGTGTGGCATTCAGGTACCTGTCTGAGCAGCAGGTCTCGCTGACTTCGTGTGGTGTTCAGGTACCTGTCTGAGCAGCAGGTCTCCAATGCAGCGGACAGTGAAGTTGGAGGAGCTCCCCTCCGTCAGACCCTCCCTCCTGCGGCTCAGCAGCTCTGACAGGAAGGCCGAGTGCCACTCCAGCAGCTGGTCCAGACAGGGGAAGATGGTGTGAACCACGGCCGCCTCCAGCATCACCTCCTCCAGCATCCCCCTCCGGTACACACCCTCCATGATCCTCAGGGTCCGTACATGGTGGAACTCAGTCTGGATCAACTCTGAGGGACAGAAGATGTTTATGCTGACGGTCAGCAGATATATATATTTATATATTTATATATATATATATATATATTTATATTGATGTATATTTATATATATTTATATATATATATATATATATATTGCTCCCGTAGTTGAGCCTACGGTGTAGAAATGTGATAGACTCTGAATTGTAAGTCGCTTTGGATAAAAGATTCTGCTAAATGACTGTAATGTAATGTAATATATAAATATTTATACATATTTACTTATTTATATGTGATATATATTTTTATACCGTAGATGACGTCCTGTTTCTTGATCAGATCTTTATGAAGCGTCTGCAGGAAGTTTTTCTCCACAACGAGACTCCAGCTGTCCAGCTGAACACAGCTGCCCTCCTCCTGCAGCTCCTCCAGCAGGGGGCTCCACCACCACTCACCTACACACACAACAATAACAACAATAATAATTAAAGCTGCAAGCAGCGATGTACGGGACCTCGCACCTTCCCGCATCTCGGGGGTACTGGCGGGACGCTGGCAGACGCGGATGTCTTCGACCAACGGACAATGCATCCCGGAGTTTAACGTATTTTTCCCGCGTGGACTGTGTAACGCTGGAAATTATGTAGTGCAATTATTCCTCTGTGGATACAGGACTAACTTTTAATTGCAATGGTCTTTAGATTGTACTGACCAAATTTGAAAAGGCAAAGTCTGACAAAAGTCTCTAGGAGGAGTTCATTAAAGTATAGCGACAAGTTATCAACGAACAATTCACACAAAAATCAAAATGGCCGACTTCTGGTTGATTTTAGAGTATGGTCTCTAGAGACTTTTCTTTAAGTCTCCATGTGATACATATACTTACTAAATTTCATACACCTATGTCAAACGTACTGCGGGGGCTGCATCGGCGACATTTTGTAGGGGGCGCTATTGAGCCGACTTGGCAATCTGAACCAATAAAATCATAATATGTAGCTACACTTTTTGGCTTTAAATATGAATGCTAAGTTTGCTGATGTTTCGAGCATTTTTAGCCTCTCAAAAGTACCTTCGTTTTTTACGGCGAAGGCTGCGTCGCCACGGCAACGGCGTTTGACGAAACATCAAAAGCTTCATGAACTGGCATTATGAACTTCTTATATTTGTGTGGCACTAACTTGATGTTGATCTGATTTACCGACTAAGAGAAACAAGCCAAAGTATAAAGCCTTTAACTTACTGTTACCAGTAGGTGGCGCTATGACTATGATTCATAATTGGCCTGCAGATGTCTTCAGGCCAGGAGTCTAATCAAACATGTGCAATCTGGTAAAGATCTGATGATGTGGAGTTGAGTTACATCAGTTTATTCGTTCATGGCGAAGGATCGAAATTTGCCAATCCGCCGCCCTTCAACAACTTCTTACAATTTTCACAATGAAGCATTATCAAGGTCTTAAGGCTGTTCTGACAACATTTGAGAGGGATCTGATTAATCTGTGAGGAGCAGGATGTCAAAGTACACAACTTACAACTTCCAGTTGCCACTAGGTGGCGCTATTACTATGATTCTAAATTGTCATATAGATGTGTTCCGGGTCAGGATGTTATGACATATGAGAGATTTGGAGCAGATTCGACAATGTACGGCCAAGTTACAACAACTTCCTGTTTCGCGGCGAATGGTGTTTTTTTGACGCTACGCCACGGCTACATAGTTTGAAATCTTTTTGATCTTTGAGTAACTTTTCACTGCCACGGTCTCAAGAGCATACTGACCGAATCTGAAGTTGATCGGGTCAAATCTCTGGAAGGAGTTCGTTAAAGTATGACGCCTTGAAATGGTCCAAAAAGGTCATGAAATTCAAAATGGCCGACTTCCTGTTGGGTTTAGGACATACCTCTTTGAGGCTTTTTTGTACGTCCCATCACGTTACATATACCTACCAAATTTCATACAGCTAGGTGAAACCAAAAGTTGGGGCTGCACTCTAGGTGGCGCTATCGAGTCATTTTGTCCGACCTTTGCCCAACGACTCAATTTCCTTGTTATTTTCACCGATCCTGAATTTTGTGCAAATTTTGAAGAATGGACGTGTAGCCCAAGCATCTCTTTTTTTCCCCTTGAAAGACGCAGAATAATATTAAGAAGAATAAAAAACATTTGAAGAACAATAGGTCCTACGCTCCAACTACGTCGGTGCTCGGGCCTTAATAATGTGCTGATAAGATAATTAATTATTATAAACTCTACATAGGTGATACAAAAATATAAAGCTACAGACCGTCGTCAGTCAGAGACTCCATGGAGAGAGTCCTGCTCCTGAAGTTCAGAGACTCAGTGGACTGAGACAGAATCCTCCTGAGACCCACAGACTCCTCACTCATCCTGAGAGACAGACAGGTGGAGGGAGAGACAGGTGAGAGTGAGACAGACAGGTGGAGAGAGTACGCTCAGCAGAAATGATTCAATAGAATATTCTAAACACATTAAACTGAACTACAAATTGACAAATAAAATAATAATAATAATATGAAGGGGGCCTTATATTATATATAGTGATAAATACATCCAACAACCAATCAGGCGGCAGCTTGCTCTCACCCTGCGATGTTATTGGTGGAGACGCTCTTAGCCAATGAGAGGCCGGAGCGGACGCGTCGGGGCAAAGACTGACGAAGACTGTCGGAGGGATAGATGGCCGAGCTGGGACGCTCCTTCATCATCGGAGCTGAGGACACAAAACACAATGTCAAGATTAAAGAACAGAAGAAGAAGAAGAAATGCTCTTCTTCTTCACCTTTAAAGAAGCAACACAGATACTTGATGTAGAATCTGATCAATTATAAATCCAACAAATACAACTAGTTTCTATCCTGATAGACACAAACAGAATGAACACTGGATCCTATGATTCCCACAATGTAGCTGGATAGTGTCCTTCAATGTGACAGACAGACAGACCGACAGACAGGTTGACTCACTTTTGGTGCGCATGGTGACGTTCTGCAGAGCTGAACTGTTTCTCGACAGCGTCAGCTTTTGTTGCTGTTAGAGAGAGACAGACAGGCAATCAGAACAGACAGGCAGAGAGACAGGCAGCTAGAGAGACGGACAGGTAACCAGTGAAGACAGTTAGACAGTTCTTACCCGTTGCTTCATCTTGGCACAACTGGCCAGACTGTCTCTGCAGCGGTTATGGATGGTGACGTTACATGCTGAGAGACAGACAGGCAGACAGATAGACAGAGAGAGAGAGACAGGTAGCTCAGAAAAATGTTAGTCATATTGTGTACCCGTACATCAGAGTACACCCGTACGTCACAGTACACCCGTACGTCACAGTACACCCGTACATCACAGTTCACCCGTACATCACAGTACACCCGTACGTTACACTAGACCCGTACATCACAGTACATCCGTACGTCACAGTACACCCGTACGCTACACTACACCATACGTTACAGTACACCCGTACATCAGAGTACACCCGTACATCAGAGTACACCCATAGGTCACAGTACACCCGTAAGTCAGTACACCCGTACGTCACAGTACACCCGTACATCAGAGTACACCCGTACGTCACAGTATACCCGTACATCAGAGTACACCCGTACGTCACAGTACACCCGTACGTCACAGTACACCCGTACGTTACAGTACACCCCTACATCAGAGTACACCCGTACATCAGAGTACACCCATAGGTCACAGTACACCCGTACGTCACAGTACACCCGTACATCACAGTACACCCGTACGTCAGAGTACACCCGTACATCAGAGTACACCCGTAAGTCACAGTACACCTGTATGTCACACATTCCTGCGGCTAAAACCAAACAGATTTTGCAGCTGGTTTCTGGTTCTGGACCCATAGAACCTCCACTAGAACCCTGGAACCTCTTCAGTGACCCATTAAGTTCTTTAAGGATCTTCAGAACATTTTTTATGATCTCAAAGCACCTCTAAAGAAATCTAAAGTCAACATTCCTGAAAAAAAACAAAAGCAAAGACGAGGAAAAAATAGACTGCACTGTTTTCTGTGGTCACACACACATACACAAACACACACATACACACACACAAACACACACACACACACATTAAACACGTGTCCCCTCGACCCACTTCTCAGGGTTCAACCTCAGCAGCCAATCACAACGCAGGATAACGTGTGTGTGTTAATCTGAAAATCTGAAGAAGTACATCTGTTCATTGTGGAGGATTAACACACCATCTGTTACACACACACACACACACACACACACACAGGTTGTGCTTCATGTTTGTTTTTCCATGTTTTTCATTTATTGTGTTACATATTCTCCTCTTCTGTATTATAATAAGAGAATGAATGTGTGTTTGAGTACTATATATATACAGTATATATATATATATACACAGTATATATATGCACACATATATATACAC